GGAATGCCGTAACCTTTAGGAAAAATCCGTGACCTCACGTCTGCTCAGGTGCCGTCCCACCCTTACCAAGAGAAGGCACGCCAAGTGTGCATGGAAGGGTGGTCACGACGCTTAGGATGCCGTTGATTGGAAAATCAACACTTCTCCAATTAACCAATCAGCCTGTATCCTAACATGCCAAGGCGAGGAACGAGGAGGAATGAGAAATCACCAAAAACCTCAGCAGAAAGAATCGAGACACCGAACAAAATTATCAGCTTTAGATCGCAAATCGCTTAGAGTATCCTTCGCGTTTCCAAAGGAGGAAATAACTCCGTCATGACGCGAAGAATACTCTATTCGATTAGCAGATATACACCTGTCTTTTGAAACACGACGATCAGATGTGCGTCTCGTCCGAGGGGATGTCGTCCTTGTCGGACACGTGGTATCTCAGACGTCCATTTTTCGCGTGGATCAGGATCGAGGTTTTTCTCGGTCGTTGCGAACATTGCGTGTCAACGATTTCTTCGCTGCTTTTGTCCCCTGTCGACGAGTCGTTCGCAGCTACCGCACGTTTCTCTCCCTCCCCGTCGTCCGGCTGTAATTGACCTGCCCCACGTAAGTTGTTCTCCATGCAGCCAGATGCGCTGTACCTGCGTCGAGAACAGCGGTTCGCGGAACCGTGAATTCGTTTCCAAGTTTTTATTCCAATGGTACGTGACACGTGGTCATTCGTGCATCTGACAATTTAGAATGCATGAAAATGAACGGGAAATTAACGAGAAATCAGGACTGATCTCGAGTGTGCTTTTAACAGGGAGGTGATTCGTGACAGGAACTCGTTTTAACACTTTTCCAGTGACAGAAGTGTCGCGATTGTTTAGAACGACGAAAATAAATGAAGCATCGGTGACTAAGTAATCTTGAATAACGCAGGTAAATAGACGATATTGTGAAATAAAAAAGGTACTGTGCAACGATGAAAGATGTTAATTAAAGCTCGTTAATTAGACAAATTAAAAGGTACGAGGTAACTAATGAAAACCCTGTTGCAGCCTCCTGTAAATGTTGCTGTTAATTACGAGCAATAAAATCTCACTTACGTCCTACGCTGGCAATTTGCGCCTCTTCCTCGGAAAATCTGAGATCCTTTGCTAGGCCTGCCGCCACAAATTGTACTCGAATCTCTCACGCTGCTCTGACCGACTCTGCTAATGGATGGACTACTACTGGAGCATCGACACGTTTCCTTAAAAGCGTTCCGGTATTTCGCGCCCATCACGTTGTACAGAATGGGATTGATAGTGGTACTGAAGTAATAAAGGCAACCGGTGAGCGGGTAGAACCACTGGCTCATGTCTTCGTGCATCGAGTCCTCGTACACGTATAATAATCGCTGGATGTGAAATGGCGCCCAACAGATGAAAAATGTGATCACCACGGCACCTGTGGACCCAAGTCGAGGCACGATTTCTTTCCCGGGCTTCGCCGTTATCACGTGGTGAATATTTTATAATAAATTTCATTTGCCGATAATACCTTTCCTTCCCTTTTCTCCTTCCACGATTCGATGGCTGTGGGTATCGGATATGGAAGAAAGAAACTGGGATATTTGCGGATGCACGAAATAGAAACTAATAGGATCGGAAAGGGAAGAAAAGGTAAATCGAGTAATAAAACTTCTGCGTATATTACGACTCGGAAGAATGTTCGTATTTTCGACTAGTCCCTGTCACGCGTTATCGACAGGGTGAAAATTGTCTCGTGACACACTGATCTCCCGACGCCGAGGAACTTTGACGTCCACGTTCGATCGTTGGTTTCCTCGTCAATTTCTAATCACGTTCCTTGATAGGGTACCATCTACGCGGAATAACGCCTGTCGTCGTGAGTAAATCAGTTGATATTCCATATTTACCCGGGTGGCGCAGACACATGATACTGATTAACGTATTTACAATGAGCATATTCAAATTTCGCAGGGACAAAGGACAGGATGAGGTTTATTTAAGATTGAACATATACTCAGCATCCGCGTGATGGTTTTCCGTGACTGGGCTTGTTTGGTTTCCCCATGAACATATCCCTCGACGTTCTGCGCGAGGGTGTCACTTTGTATTCGTAACCCTATTCGCACGTAAAGTACCACGATAAACACCATCGGCACGAGGAAGAAGAGGATGCAGCTGAGTTGGTAGAGAGGAAATTCAGGCATATTCAGCATCGCGCAAATCGCGGACTCTTCCGAGTTTCGCGTAGAGTCTGAAAATCAAAACGAAACGAGGCTCAAGGCGAGAAGAGAGCAATTGTTAAAGCGAGAGGAAAGGGAAACGGGATAGCAGGAACAATCGCTGGAATATTAGCGAAGCGCGAATTTTCCAAATTTTATGAAACAACGCGATCAAAGTGTATACGTCAAACAGTACTCCCATTTGTTTGATCGACATTCCCAATTTTCCGAACCGTTCACGCATTAGTGAGTGCATTTTCAGCTCATAAACGTATATCTGATCACAGTTCGCGCGTACGTTGAATAAATATCTATCCTGACATCGTATCAATACTACCGTAAAATTGCGTTATTATCGTATGATTCGTAATGCGAATGCAAAATCGATACGTATTACCTACAAATACGGTTTAGCCGCTGGATGGTTGTTTAAATTTCTAGGCTACGAAACTTCTAATGGCAGACGATTATAACTTCGCAAACAGTGTCCTCCGAAATTGTCATTACGTCAGTTTTCGTTAGGCAGATGTACGGATAAGACTGCTAGCTCGGTTGCGACTTCCGAAAAGCGCGGAGAGAATAAGGAGAAAAACACGGTTTAGCCATAACTCACTTTGCGGGTATTTCACGTAATCGATGTCGATGTAGGCTGCGAATGGCATAGCAAAAATTAAGGCTACCAGCCATGCACCAAATATGGATCGTATGGAACGCTTCAGTCCACTCCCGTAATGACGAAGGGGGTGACAAATTGCCAAATATCTTTCTACCGAGAACGCCACTATAGTTAGTACCGACACATAAGAGGACCTTGAAAGAAAAGATTCTTGTAGTTGTTTCTCAACAGGATCCTGTTCTCTTCGCGTTGCATGGTGTAATGTTCGAAGCACGTTCATTTTTACCGTGCTCCATCGACTCACGTTTCAGAGACGTACGCTCTCAGTTTGCATATCCCTAATCCCCATTGCCATGGATATTGTTGCCAAAATACGCTCAATTCGAAGGGTAAACCTGAAAAGCAATTGGAAAATACGTTCTTACACTTGTACTGCGATCGCTTCCTCAAAGAATCGTGCTTTCCTTTGATTACACGCGGCAGTTTCGAAGATACGATATTGCATTAGAACAAAATGACGACAGGACCGTATCGGCGAAGTAAATATCGTTTATATTGAATTCATTCGTTTAATTTCCTTTCACGATCGACCTATTTACAAATAATCGAAACTTCCATAACGCGAATGAGAACAGAAGGATATCCCTCGAATTCCTGATTCAATAATGTAAACGTAGAACCGAAGAGAACGGAGTAATTTAAAAGGAAAGCATTTTCCACTCGAAGTTCATATTTTTCTTTTCGCTATTTTATCAATGAAATTTCTTTCAATCTACTTCCAGCCCGTGCCACTGCGATAATTCCAATTGATCTACCAACGTTGGTTCTACCAATCGGGAAAAAGGGTATAACACAATGATCCCGATAGAAAATCAAGGATCAGTGGGTATAAATTAACTGTAAGGCTACTTTCGATGCAAACCAATCCATTCAGGAGGATCACGATGCGGTATCCGATACAAATGAAATCGTAACGAGTAACGCGAAACCCTTCGTTACTGCCAGGAAGATCGGACAACCCACTAGCCGATAATTAACGCCTAACACGTGACGATTGCACAAATATTGTCCGACAATTCTACAATTTTTCATCGTTACAAAGTGTAATAGACAATTAATGGCACGAGTAAATGCCCGGTTCCATCTCTATCGCGAAGGAGAAAACTGATGAACATAATCCTTGATCAACGAAGCACGCGTGTCTTATAAGACTGGTTATGAATCTGTCTCCATGAACGGATTCGATACGCTATCTACACGTGCGTATCTACACGAGATACAAGAGCATCGTGCATAAATCATCGACGAATTAACTCGTTCCGATTATCATAAGATCATAAATATCGGAGAACTCCCAGGCATTTGGCGCCATTGCAAAGTAGCTCGTGATCGTGAATTCGCCAAGAACATGTCTCGCTAACTAAATAAAATTCCATCTCTCCCGAAGTTTTTCTCTCTCCATGTATTCGTTGCTAATTACTTCATTGCGAATCGACAACGACAAACGCAAAGAAAGCACGAAAGAGTAAACGAATAAGCAGCGAACTTACCCAAAACTAAAAACAGCAAATCGGACACAGCCAAATTGAACAAGTAATAATTGGTCGCAGTCTGCGCAGTTGGATTCCTCCAGATAACGATGCAAGTGATGATGTTACCGGCGAACCCGGTTACGAAGATGACAACGTACGCGAGGGTAACAGGCACTACCAGCGTTAAGGGTAAGTACTTGGGACCACGTATCGTTTCCAGGTACTTCAACTCTTCGCTGAAGTTCTCGTAGAACGAGTATTCATCCGACTCGTTCATCGTTCGCGAATCTCGATCACCGTTTGCCAAAAAATCGATCACTTTTAAGTCACGCGACAGCAAAGGTTCTCCGACACTTCAAGAACAAGGAACATTTTCCTTAGAAATCGGCCGTCGATGAACCATCATTCGTTCTGCTACTCGAAATCGACGGTGTGGCGAATATGTCACGCGCTGTTACTCTCGCGATTATAATGCCGACACCCCCCATCAGAGGGTGATCTTGAAAGTGCACCGTTCGCCAGATCGTGAACAAGTGACGTCTCTCGAGTTGCTCACCTTTGCACCACGCGCCCATCCACCACGCACCCAACCCTCCTTTCAACCCCCGAGGGGCGGTCGTCGTTGCCAATAAAATCGCGCGCATCTCGCCAAACGAAACGATTCAAAATATTTAACGACAGTTTCATCGTTCTGATTACCAAAAGGAATTTCTCCAACGGCATAAACGTAGTTCACGAGTTGTAGCCGGCCGCAAAATCACCCCTCGCAGGCATATCTCGACCCGGTTCCACACCCAGGATTAGGAGGAATTAAACGAGTTTAATTATCGCGATAAATGGACACGATGGGAGACCTTGATGTACACGATAGTGTGGAATGGCGAAGGACTCTATGAAATAATAAACGGTGGCATCGGCTTTGACGAGGTGAATGAGTGTACGAAGCTTATGGAAGCGTTTGGGCGACTCCTTGAGAAGCAAGAGGTAGCGAAAGGCGGTATCGGGTGTGTAGCGTCCTACGATATCGAATCTCTTCGATTTCCAAGAACGCTTATCACGCGCCAAATTAATATTGCGTGACTAGTTGTAATAATAAGGATCCAGAATGCGTGTGGTCAAAAGAGAGTGTTTATTTACAGAAAAGCGTAGAATAGTTATAACGTAGACGTTAACGGAGTATCGTTTCGAACACGCGTTTGTATGTGTAATTAAGATGTTTTAAGGATCAGTGCCGAAGACGAACTGACTTCTCGATTTTGCTCTATGTCCTGTCTCGTCGTGTTCGGTCCGGTGTTTTCTCTAGTTTAGTTCTGATTGGGTAAAATAGATGTTGGCGGTGGAAAGGTAAAGAGTTTTAATTGGACAGAGGGTGTGACATAAGGACCTTTGGCTAAGGAGTAGGAAACTGTCAAGGAGCCGATTTCTGATGGTCAATGACGTGATTTATAAGTGCCGTCCGTCCGTCGCTTGTTGGGTCTGTCACAAGTGGGTCCCATCTGT